GTCTAGATGGGAGCATATGTTGTTCTAGAACCTGAACATAGTTCTCTGCATTAATGGTGCCTTTCCAGACATGCAAGCTGCCCATGCCACAAGCGCTCATGCAACCCCATACCATCAGTGATGCAGGCTTCTGAACGGAGCGTTGATAACAACTTGGACTATCCTTGTCCTCTCTGGTCCGGATGACATGGCGTCCCAGTGTTCCATAAAGAACTTCAAATCGTGACTCATCTGACCACAGAACAGTCTTCCATTTTGCCACACTCCATTTTAAATGACCCCTGGCCCAGTGCAAACGTCTGAGCTTGCTTAGAAATGGCTTCCTCTTTGCACTGTAGAGTTTCAGCTGGCAACGGCGGATGGCACGGTGGATTGTGTTCACTGACAATGCTTTCTGGAAGTATTCCTGAGCCCATTCTGTTATTTCCTTGACAGTGGCATTCCTGTTTGAGGTGCAGTGACATTTAAGGGCCTGGAGATCACGAGCATCCAGTAGAGTTTTACGGCCTTGACCCTTAGGCACAGCGATTGTTCCAGATTCTCTGAATCTTTTGATGATGTTATGCACGGTTGATGATGATAACTTAAAAGTCTTTGCTATTTTACGCTGGGTAACACCATTCTGGTATTGCTGCACTATCTTTCTGCGCAACAATGGTGGAATTGGTGATCCTCTTACCATCTTGGCTTCTGAGAGACACTGACACTCTGAGAAGCTCTTTTTATACCCAATCATGTTGTCAATTGACCTAAATAGTGTTAATTGGTCTTCCAGCTGTTCGTTATATGCTCAATTTCCTTTTTCCAGCCACTTATTGCTACTTGTCCCAACTTTTTTGGGATTTGTTAACACTGTGAAATTTTGAATCAACATATTTTTCCTTTAAAATGTTACAATTACTCAGATTAAACTTTTGATCTGTCATCTATGTTATATTACGAATAAAATATTGACATTTGCCATCTCCACATCATTGCATTCAGTTTTTATTCACAATTTGTTTAGTGTCCCAACTTTTTTGGAATCCGGTTTGTAAATCTGGTCAACAGTTTGTTGAAAAGTTACATTTATTCTTTCAGTGGAAATTTAATAAAGTGTTTAAAACATGTTAATATAACACTTTTATGCTCAACAGCTGTAATGCTGTTTGCAGGGCCATGGCATGGAAACAGAGTTTTGAGTCTAAAGGCTCCCACATACTCAGGCAGACCTCAGTTTGCGGAGGTCCATTGTACCGGATTAAACTCGAAACAGCGCCTGCAAGGCATGTCCGTGCAAAGATCCAATTTTTACAGCCGCATATGTGTACTCCGTGTCACACAATAAACTGCCCGGCGACTGAGTTTTGTATGCGACACCATTGTATTAAATTCCCTTTCTTCATCCGTAGTCTGGTTTGTTTTTTTCAAGAGGCAAGTAATCTCTTCCTCCTCATCCGTTGACGCCATGACTGAATTCATGGGAAGTGAAGGAATTTGTCACGAGACAATTAAAATTAGGTCTGGTGTGGCTGCGGGAGGGTCTGGAGATTTCCTGGTGGGCTGGTCTGATGTGTGGGCTGCAGGGCCAGCGCTCCCTGCAACAGTGCGACCTAGTCCATCAATCTAGTAGGCGTGTCAGCAAATGACCAATCGGTGACCTCAATTTGTTCCAAAGCTGCTTAGCCAAATTAAGAGACACAAAAAATTTCAGGTAATTTTCCCAATGAGATCAATTTGAATTCACTTTAAATAAAAAATAATTTTATGAAAAAAAAACCCAACTAAAATGGAGGTTATTAATTTAAAATTATATTTTAGTTTTGAAAATAAAACACCAAATTGTATTATTGTTAAAGCCAGGATTGGCATTTCAACTCCCTGGTCCTGAAGCCAACCCCACATATTACTCGAAATGTTTGATTCCTTATGTAATTTTTGTATTGTATATTTTTTGAATGTATACAACTCAACTTGTGAAATTTTATTACTTAGTATTACATTGTTTGCCTTGGTTTGTTTGTAAATTGCTGTTCATAATTAAAAAAAAAGAAAACTCACTGACGTGAAACTTCAATATGCGGTCGATTACTCTGGAAGGACACAAGACTTTTGAAATCGAAACTGAATTATAAAACCATTTCCAAAGCAAATAATTCATTTTCAAAATTCACTCTCAATTTTGTGAAATTCCCAAAGACCTGTGTTTTTTATTTAGTTCTTTGCTTTATTGCGGGCTTTCCTCTTTGCTTGATTATGCATTTGTTTTTGGGCTGCTGCCATTCTTGGAAATAGAGGGGTTTAATTACAAGATCTAACAGATTAAATGTAGGTTAATTAAAAATATTTAATAATATCCCTATCGTCTGATCGGTTGTTTCATTATCTCGATAAAATAAATCAACTCATTACAAAATTATCTCTTCATATTGGAAAACTGAATTAAAATTAAATTACCCCTTAATGCTCATTCACAATTTTCATGAGCACACATTTCAATTCAGTTGCAGAACACATTTTAGTGAGTAAATGCATACTTAGTCTGACATTTAATGCATCACTCTGCACCCGTTTTGATTTGACTCGTCATTTCTGAAAGTTCACCTCTGAGCGTGACGTGCACGCTTCGTCAGTGAAATGTTCATGAAACGAGGAAGAACTGGCGTTGTGCAGACATTTCACAGAACTTTTTTGCATGAGCCTGATATTTACCATGTGGGAAAACAGCAACATGTCGATCATTCAGGGCCTAACAAAACACGATGAACATTTTGAAGTGCACACAAGCTTTTCCCTCGTTTATCCATTTGTGAAAATGTTGAATCACCCCTTATTTTTCTGAACTTCCTTTTCAAAAAGTACTGTAGTCATTTCGTTTATTTAATGCAGAAGCAACAAGTCCCATTATTTGTCTTTAAGTTGATCTTTTTAAGTTTTAAATATGTAGATAGAGAAGCATTTATAACAGACAGACAAGCCAGTATGTTACCATAACATTGTTTTATTGTGGCGCTAATGAGACAATGTGGAACAATCAGACAAAGAACAGACAGCTTATTTCTGTGCAGCTGCCTTCCTTGCTGCCTTTAAGCCCTTATTGTTGTGTTTCTTGGCAAAGCGCATATTCCTCAGGAACTTGGGGTCCATCTGCAACACACAAACAGGAAAAAAGTGAGCTGAAGGTTGCTCTTTTTGGCAAAATATTCAAACTATTAAACATGTACAATGTATGTATGTATGTACAATGTACGTACGGACAGACAGACAGATAGATAAAATAAATCAAATTAAAAGCCAGAGCCACATTTAATGAACTTGAGATTTGATTAGGCTTGTATTGTAAAATTACAATATTGTATTACAAAATTACCTTATTTTACCTAAACGAACAACATATAAAAACAAGAAGTGCACAAGAATTGTTGAAATCCTGAATTATGATTAAAGAATACTGGCCCCACACCAAACTAGACAGAAGAGCAGAAATAAAGTTTTGAGTGACAATTGCTGCAAAATTAGTTTTAGCCTGACGTCACATTTGACAAAATTCTAATCATTTGAGGAATCTTAAATTACTTTGCACAACTGAAAACAAATAAACATAAACAAATAAAATATATATAAATAAAGCTACACACTGAAATTCTGATAGGTGTGAAAATGAGGTGAAGGAATCCATTTACGTAAAAAGATGGTTTCTCTAGGGCTGGACGATATGGCCAAAACTTTTATCACGATATATTTCTTAATTTTGGTCGATAACGATATAATTCAATTTCGATATAAACAATATAAAAGCCGAAGAAAAACTAAAAACTATACAAATAAATTAATGTTCACCTTTTTATTTGTATTTAGCCTTCAAAAAAATTGAAATCACTGTCAAATAAATAAAATTCTCAACTTTGTCAATATTAATAGTTTTAACTTTAAACAACTTTAAAATTGACAGCATTGAAATTCTTAGTTAATGAAATAAACTTTTTGGGTGTCGTTACTGACGAGAAGCTGACGTGGAAATCTCATGTAAAATACTTAAAAAAAACAATCAGTTGCATTACTGTATAAAGTAAAAGAGTTTTTGAATGACAAAGCTCGTATATATTGTATAATGTAATGATTGTTCCATATTTAATCTATTGTAATGAAGTTTGGGGAAAAGCATGCAAAACAATTATAAATCCTACTTTTATTTTACAAAAGAGCTATAAAAATTATTAGTATTATGAAGTGCTATGGTCACCAAACAAATATGTTATTTCATCAATTGAAATTATTAAAATGTTATGATTTGGTTGAATATCGTATTTTACAAGTCATGTATAAAGCTCAAAAATATTAGCCTCAAATATTCAATAAAAATTTGTAAAAAAAAAAATAAATATATAAAAAGGAGAGTCAATATAACTTAATGGAATGTAAATGTTTGTAAAACCTCCATTTAGAACTGGTCTGAAGGAGCTGTGTTGTAATTCAGGGAACAGGATTATGGAATTGTCTTTATATCACCATAAAAAAATTCTAAAACAATTTATATGTTTAAAAAGATGATAGTTAAAGTTGTTGGGAAGGTTTAGGACCAGGTGAAGGATACCTGAAGTTTTTTTGTTTTCAGTTTGTTCAAGTCAAGGTTGTTGTTTGTTTGTAGTTATTTTGTATTTTTTAAATTAGGGGCAGATAAGAATTTTTTTCTTCTTTCTTCAACCTTTTCTTTCAACGTTTTTCTTCTTTCTGATGAATTTCTTGTATTTTAAATGAATGAATAAATGATAAACACACACAAAAAAAAAAACATGCAGCGCTGGGGGTGTTTCAGGGACACGTTGGCTCAAACTTCTATTGTGCTTCATCTTGTGACTCATCATATTCTGTCAAGTGGAACATGTTAGATGTTCCAACCTCTAGTTAGAACGACTCTCCATCATATTTTGCAGCACACTGACTGAAACCTGAACCACTTCCAAACCAGCAAATTAGTCTTTTCTCTCTTGTCAGTGATGTCATCTGCTTTCTCTTCGCTTGTTCAGTCACATTCTGACGATCATGGGCACTCTTTTTGAAGAGAAAACTTAATGCGTGTTGGAGATTAGCCTAGCTTAGCCTACTGCCACTAACGCCTTCTGGACTTGAGCTCTGCGTAACATTACATCACTACGCACTTACGTCGTTGTGTCACACCTTTTTCTGTCCAGATTGAAACTGAAGTGGCCGCTTCAACCCGAACAGAAAAAGAAATGTGTCAGTGAAACGCTGTAATCCTATCGAAATAGTGCTTAAAATGCATATCGTTTTTGAATAAAAGTATATCGCGAGATATATCGATATCGAAGTATTGTCCAGCTCTAGGTTTCTCTCTTCCTTCACCTCATTTTCACATGTATGAGGAATTTCAGCCATGTGCCACCAAAGTGGCTCCTGTGTGTCTCAGATTAACAAGACCCCAAACAATCCCCCAGTGACGGGGCAAACTGTAGCTTAGGGGCCGTTTGTTTACACAGCATGCATTTTGAGCGAAACTGCATTTTTCTCTGTGGTTCTGCTGTCCATTTACACGACACTAGTAGCCCCCCTCTTTGAATCCGGAGGTTTCTCAACCCACCTCCCAGAGTGGAGGCTTTTGGGAGGCCTCTCGCTGATAATGTAAACATTTCCCGATAAAATGTTGTTAAACCACATGTGCACATGCACACATCGGCTGACAGCATATTTCTATCAACAACAATGGCAGCAGAGTATAACACACTGCTTTCTGAGCTACGACTGATGGAATATGTGTTGGGTCTCGTAGTTAATCTACGCCAGAATGTAGCTGCTGTGAACAACATCTGTGTTGGGAAGAGACCAGTCTGATCCAGTTCTAATATCGGCATTTACTGAACGAGGCATGCGAATATTTCACGCATCTACAGACCCTTTCCAAAAATTTAGAATATCATGGAAAAGTTGTTTAACTTCCATTCAAAAAGTTAATCTTCAATTGATGATAGATTCAGGGCCCACCATTTAAACGATTTCAAGTATTTATTTCTTTATTTTTTACATAATTTGGGCTTCCAGCTCATGAAACCCATGAAAACAGAAATTCAAAAAATTTGAATCCTGTGAAGAAATCAGCCCACACTACTCACGTTTTTGCAGGAAAAAGAGAAAGAAATTAGGATCACAACAAATCAATCAAAATATGGTACTTTTAAAACGATATGTCAATCTTGCAATACTTGGTTGGGAATCCCTTTGCCTTAATCACTGCCTCGATGTGACGTGGCATTGATTGGGAGTTATGGAAGCCCAGATTTCCTTGATGCTTGCTGTCAGCTTTTCTTTGTTGTTGGGTCGGTGCCCCTCATTTTCCTCTTGAGAATACCATACAGGTTCTTCTCAAAAAAATTAGCATATTGTGATAAAGGTCACTATTTTCCATAATGTAATGATAAAAATGAAACTTTCATATATTTCAGATTCATTGCACACCAACTGAAATATTTCAGGTCTTTAATTGTTTTAATACTGATGATTATGGCATACAGCTCATGAAAACCCAAAATGCCTGTCCCAAGAAATTAGCATATCATGAAAAGGTTCTCTAAACAAGCTATTAACCTAAACATCTGAATCAACGACGTAACTCTAAACATCTGCAAAAGATTCTTGAGGCTTTTAAAAACTCCCAGCCTTGTTCATTACTCAAAACCGCAATCATGGGTAAGACTGCCGACCTGACTGCTGTCCAGAAGGCCATCATTGACACCCTCAAGCAAGAAGGTAAGACACAGAAAGAAATTGCTGAACGAATAGGCTGTTCCCAGAGTGCTGTATCAAAGTGGGAAGTCTGTGGGAAGGGAAAAGTGTGGCAGAAAACGCTGCACAACGAGAAGAGGTGACCGGACCCTGAGGAGGATTGTGGAGAAGGGCCGATTCCAGACCTTGGGGGACCTGCGGAAGCAGTGGACTGAGTCTGGAGTAGAAACATCCAGAGCCACCGTGCACAGGCGTGTGCAGGAAATGGGCTACAGGTGCCGCATTCCCCAGGTCAAGCCACTTTTGAACGAGACTGCGTCAGAAGCATCTCGCCTGGGACTGCTGCTGAGTGGTCCAAAGTTATGTTCTCTGATTACAGTAAATTTTGCATTTCCTTTGGAAATCAAGGTCCCAGAGTCTGGAGGAAGAGAGGAGACACAGAATTCACATTGCTTGAGGTCCAGTGTCAAGTTTCCACAGTCACTGGGGTGTCATGTCATCTGCTGGTGTTGGTCCACTGTGTTTTATCAAGCACAGGGTCAATGCAGCTAGCTATCAGGAGATTTTGGAGCACTTCATGCTTCCATCTGCTGAAAAGCTTTATGGAGATGAAGATTTCATTTTCCAGCATGACCTGGCACCTGCTCACAGTGCCAAAACCACTGGTTAATGGTTTACTGACCATGGTATTACTGTGCTCATATGGCCAGCCAACTCTCCTGACCTGAACCCCATAGAGAACCTGTGGGATATTGTGAAGAGAAAGTTGAGAGACGCAAGACCCAACACTCTGGATGAGCTTAAGGCCGCTATTGAAGCATCCTGGGCCTCCATAACACCTCAGCAGTGCCACAGGCTGATTGCCTCCATGCCACGCCGCATTGAAGTCGACATTCATGCAAAAGGATTCCCGACCAAGTATTGAGGCATAGCTGAACATGATTATTTTAAGGTTGGTGTTTTTTGTATTAAAAACACTTGTCTTTCATTGGTGGGATGAAATATGCTAATTTTTTGGGACAGGCATTTTGGGTTTTCATGAGCTGTATGCCATAATCATCAGTATTAAAACAATTAAAGACCTGAAATATTTCAGTTGGTGTGCAATCAATCTGAAATATATGAAAGTTTAATTTTTATCATTACATTATGGAAAATAATGACCTTTATCACAATATGCTAATTTTTTGAGAAGGACCTGTAGATTCTCAATGGGGTTTAGGTCTGGCGAGTTGGCTGGCCAGTCCAGCACTGTGGCAGGGGCCAGGTCCTGCTGGAAGATGAAATCTGCATCTCCATACAGATCCTCAGCAGAAGGAATCATGAAGTTCTCTAAAACATTCAGTAGACTGTTGCGGTGACCTTGGATATAAGAAAGCAGAGTTTACCAACACCTGCACCGGACATTGCACCCCAAATCATGACTGACTGTGGATATTTCACACTGGACCTCAAGCAGTATGGGCTCTGTTCCTCACCCTTCTTCCTCCAAACCCTTGGACATTGATTTCTGAATGAAAGGCACACTTTACTTTCATCGGAAAAGAGGACAGAGGAACCCGACACTTGTAGTCCATCTCCCGGATGCATCTGAAGGTTTTTGAAGCTGTGACTCCCGCCTCATCCCACTCTTTCTGGATCTCTGCCAGATTCTGGAATCTTCTCTGTTTGATAATCCGCTGAAGCCCATGGTCATCGCTTTGCTGGTGCATCTTCTCCTGCCACATTTTGTCCTTTTACTAAACTTTCCATTGATATGCTTGGACACAACACTCTGTGAACAGCCAGCCTCCTTAGCTATGAACTTTTGTGGCTTACCCATCCTATGGAGGGTATCAATGATGGCCTTCTGGCCAGTTATGTCTGCAGTCCTCCCCATATTGAACCAAACCGAGACAATTTAATGACGCCTGGGGAAACCTGTGCAGGTGCTTTGAGTTTAGTAAATGATTAGTGTCACACTCAGTTTAAAACATTCATACCCTGTAAAATTTGGGCAGATTTCTTCACAGTATTCTAATTTTTTGAATTCCTGTTTTCATGCGTTTCATGAAATGGAAGTCCAAATTATGTAAAAAACAAACAAATAAATACTTGAAATCGTTTAAATAGTGGGCCCTGAATCTATCATCTATGATTGACTTTTTGAATGGAATTTTGAAGTTAAACAACTTTTCCATGATATTCTAATTTTTGGAAAGGGTCTGTATATCCTGTATCTACATATACCTTGCCTCTCACTATTGAGTATTATCCCCTTTTAACTAAGGGTGGGCGATATGGCTCAAATATAATATCGTGCTGGCAATAATAAATTTCATGATGTAACAAAAAAAAAAAAAAGCCATAGTTGTTCATTTGACAAAATTAACTTAACATGTTGCTGTGCAGTATTATATAAAATCAAAAAAAACAAAAAAAACAACAAGGATTAATTTTACTGAAATTACTTTATTTAGTAAAGTATTCAGTCTCAAAGTATATATATATATATGTCCTTCTGTTATTCAGATTGAAAACATCTGCACAACATAGATCAACAAAATCCACCACAAAAACTAAAATACAGGTGCAGTTTCCCAAAATAACCAAATGAAATGAAGCTTAAGATATGTTGAGCATAAATGTAACATACAACAGAAGCTTGTGGTGTTTCAGCTTCCTCTGTTCCTGCAGGAATGATTCCATTTATTTGACTGCTCAGTCTTTCATCATCTGACTCTGTTCTTGGTCCATGGACTGTGGAACCAAGAGACAGACCTGCACGTGTTTGTACCGGCAGCTCAGAGCGGGATGTGGGGGGAGGGATAGACAGTTGAGCTGTCTATACTTGCAGTTTAGAGCTGTATGGAGAGACAGCCAAGTCGCACTTTGTTTGTTTTTAGCATTGCGCACAACTAATTAGCGTTACACCAGTACCGACAAGTGGAGTGGGGGTTTGGTTTGGTCGTTCGGTGCACTCGGTTCTGTTAACAGGGCGGGGCGCTTGACGTATTACACCATGAAATTAGCATATCATGATATCATTTATTTGCTTTTTTAAAACCGGTATTATCGTGAACGATATGATATGGCCCAGCCCTGCTTTTAACCATTGACTGAGGCAGATTTAATATATTCTTGCTGTGTCAACTGGCTGAAAATAAATGACAACAAGTAAGTGTATTCTTTGAAACAAGACTAGACTATTTGAGTTCAGAGTGTGTCACTTTTAACAAGCTGTTCATCAGCAGGTTTCTTTAAAAAATGAGGTAAAAGGAGAAGTGATGCATTCAACTCTCTATACTACATGGGTATTTGTACACAAGCACCCAGCTGTAAATGAACATACCCCCTTCAGTGATTCATAGCGATGAGACCTGGGCTTCTTGATGCCATTCCTGTGCCATTTACGAGCTGTTAAAACACAAAACGGATTAGATAGTAGGCCACTCCTTTCCAAAACTACAAAAACCTAAAGAAATACATGTCCCCAGTGGTAAATATAAAAACTACTGAAATCACTTACACTGGTTGTGAGTTGTGTGGTTCTTAGACTTGGCCATTTTGACGTTTGTTAATCTGTATACAAAAGAAATGGTCAATCATTATAATACATTTTTATTTTTGTTCAGTGACGAGATAACTTCTGCTGTGACTTGGTGATAAATAAATAAGCCGATTTAAAAAGAAATGTTACTGATGCAGGTCCACCTCCATGCTAACAGACGTTAGCTTTGTGACTTTCAATTTTATTTCACACTAAAAACGGCATTACAGAAATCATATTTAGTCACAGTACATATTTACATACAACCACTTGCTGAAATTATTTTTTAAAGCATTGTTTTGAAGTCGTTTGCTGCAAGAAAACTGATCAACGGCACACAATGTTAGCATCGTTCGTGTGTTAAATTCGACTCTTAGAGGGTCAAACCTAAACCATACTGGAATAAATCGATCATTAATGAGTAGCCTTATCAACTCGGGGTATGTTTATTACAGGATGGACTGAATACACGCAGATGGATTAAGATTATAAATCCGATGGGATAGCAAATGTAAATACCTACCACACGAACAGACGACAACCGGAAGAGAGAGAAACCTTGAACCGGCTTCAGAGAAGAGAGGAGCTCCGCGAGAAAACTAGGTCAGTTATTTATCACACTGCCACCTGCTGGTGCAATTTGGTACTGCAGGCAGTAGTGAGACACCAGGAGTCAGTGTTGGCCACAAAATATTTACCTGTTCTGCTTTTAGTTGTTTTATTCTTATTCCTAAGGTATTATTTAACTTTTAGAGGTGTATTAAAAATTTAATTTAGCTTTCATATCTTTTAGGTACGGAAACTAAAATCAAGGTATATATATATATATATATATATATATAT